TCACTGGTTGATGATAGACAATATGATTCATCAATGTATAGAGTCTGCGCAATCTTGAATGTGTCGGTACTTACTACCTTGATAACTAGGCTGTGTGTAGGACTGTAGGTTGGTGCAATTACCCACGTGTCGCACCTACATATATTATTTGAGTTTATTGTAAAATAATATAATATAACACCACGCCTTTTATCCCCCATTTCACTATTTATATAACAATAAATATTGAAATGTGGCCACTGTCTGACTTTGACTCACTATGACTGACTTACAACTGAGTGAGTCCCATGTAATAGGGGGTAAACCCATTGCCATATACCGGCAGAATTCTAGACTCCGTGCTACTACTGAAAATAATATAAACAGTAATAGGTAGCGGACCCGTGAATCGAACCTGTGACCCGTTGCCCGGCAGTCGCACTTGCGACCCGTCTGCTAACGAGGCAGTCTTGTAGAATATGATAATGATATAATAACATCCTAACTCAAAGATCGAATCTAGATGAATTTGGCTCTGGGTCCTATGTGTCCTGTATCTTTTTAGAATATTTGATTCTGTGTGGTTCTATAACGATAGAGTTACTTAAGTAATGAAGATAGTATCTTATTGGTTATGTTCTTAATAGGTATTTCCAATAGAACCTTATTTTTTCAGGCAAAGTCAGTATGTATGTTGCATCAGGTGATCGGTGATGATATTAAGGCGGGATAGATCAAATCAGTACAAAATGGGTAATCCACATTTTTGTTGTTTATGCCCCTGTTAATTATTTACTTTGAAAGTAGGTAGTTAATATTAGATTATTAAAACAACAGAAGCTCGTAATTATACGTATTTATCTGATTATTTTGTATTTGTTTAAAGGATTATCATTTTCATTTCCAATTTCGTGTTTATCGGGAAAGGCTTACAATTTTATCTGAATCACATACCTACTATTATATATTTTATATGCAACCTGTTCCTATCAGTCATATTTTTCCAATAGATTTGCGACTTTATCACTATAAATCAAAGATGAAAATCTCTTAAAAATTTACAACTTCAACTACATGTGTATGTAAACAATCGTGTGTACGAATAGAACCGGTGTCAGTGTGTTAGCTAACGAGTACAGTGTTGCCCCAAAGGTCAGGCGGTGCCTGGCGCCCGCTCACTTCATACATCATAAACTCTGCGCCTGCGCTCTATGGCCCGACACCATTGTGCAACTAACGCAACTTACATAATTTCACACACACCATACACTTGTTCGTTTCTAAACCTCGGGCATATCTGTTATGACATTTCAAAAATGTATTTTGAAGAATACGAGTCATCAAGCACTCTACGTAATGTCGCGAATCGAATATAAAATCCTTGAGTAACAAACTGTACAAATCAACTAACAACCTTCAATTATGTAGCAAAAACCATATAATGACCATAAATAAAAAAGGATATAAATAAAGGAATTTGATTAATTTAATTTCTTCGAACACGTTTTTGATTTCTCATAACCCAGCTGCCATATCGATAAAAACTTAAATCGAAATAAACCTTACACTATTTAATAACTTAGTCTATAGACTTGTATAGTAACTTAAATTGTACCTACATGCGATAACATAGGTAATTACATAAATTAAAATGAAAAAAAATAGCTGCACGACTACTCGTATCAAAACCGCAATCAAAGTCAAAATAACAGCAATTATTTGGGTGAATTTCAACAAATGCCATTTTTCTTATCATATCGGTGAACTTTTTCATTTATATATATTTTTTATTTTTTTCATGTTTAATGTAATATTTAGGATACTAAATACTCCCTTATTGGTAACCATCAACGTATCTTTTAAGACTATGGAGAAAATTCAGTTTGAATTCTGGTTTCCACCGATGTGACAATCCGGCACCGATTATCTTTTCTGTACACCGATATGATAAATTTATTCACCGATGTGATATACATATACAGCGATATGATAATCTATCCACCTTTGAACATCAAAAAAGAAATAGTAGGCTTATACATTTTTGAAGGAGTGACTAAGAACTGAATACCTGAACTAAGGGTATTATTTTCTTAGAATAAAAAATAATGTTTTTTTTTATTATCATTGTGTTTATTTAAAAGTAGTATAAAAAACAATAATTTCTTGTACGTTATTGTACAATACACATTTATTAATGTGGCGATCAAGCTAATTGTTTTGCCATGTGTACACTTAAAACATTGTGGCGTTCTAGGTTCAACAATACTAAGAATAGAAACTTTATATAAGAAAACTTTATATACCTAATTAATCAGCCTTTTAAGTTTAACCTTAATCATAACAACACTACAATAATCACAGCTTTAATTATCACTTAATTTAATATTTTTAAAATCTTTGTTCTCAGTGCGTAAGTATCATAGATTACATAGAGATCGCTTATATCTTACATCTAGCAAATAATCTTTACCCTTAAAAAAAAAACTTAAATTAAATCTGTCAGTATAATTTGGTTATTATGTTAATCAGCCTTTAAGTTCAACATAAATCACTACAGAACTTGAACCGTCTTCGTACTCCACTTTTATTAAATTGCACCATAATTAGACTTTTAAGTCATAGAAGACTATGTAGTATACCTATAGTTAATCACAGCACTTAATTACGTACTTTTATAATTATTATCTGTTACAACAATTAAACCTTTTTTTTTCAATTAAAACTAAAAACAATAAAAATAAAAATTTTAAAAACAAATCAGCCCAGATCAAAATAAGTCATCATCAGTGTCACTGCAACCAAATATATAATTAAATCTCTGTTTGATGTCAGGAGTTGGTTTACGTGGCTCATTTTTTTCTTTTTTAAAGTTAATTTTAGATTTTATTCTAAATATTTCCTCATCGGTGTCACTGTCTTCCACGGTAGGACTTGAAAATCTATTAGATGCTTTTACCGTATCCTCTTTATTTACGAATTGAGTTGATTCCTCTAAACCAACTAAAATGTTCGTGTCAATTTTCTCTAAAAATGAACAGGCAGGAGTACTTTGATCAAGATCTACATAGTTCAATAGCAAATTTTCAGACATTTTTGTCGAAGAGGATGATCTGGGTGCCGCATTTTCCGAGATTTTTAATGTATTTGATGGCTCTTTATTAGCCTTTGCCAATTGTTTTCTTAAATCGTGTATTTGCTGAGTTTTAACGTTTTGATATTTACGAAATTTCATTTTAATGTCTTGTTTGAATTTAACAGTATTAAAGGATGTGTCTAAGTTAGGACTATTTGGGCGTAATGTTGATTCTTCTGAATTTATAGAACTAATACTTGGCGTTCGTAAAGGAGATGCTATTGATAAATCTAGGGGACTGCTTGTACGTAAATAGTGGGAACTACTCGCTACTATGGCATCAATACGCAAATTAGGACTATTACATCGAACATTCTGTCGCAATAGCCGTGGGCTATGAGGTCCTATTAGTTCTTGAGAAATACCGGGCTCATTATCTTGATTTTTCGGTAGCGATTCTGCGTCATTGGTCTCTGAAACACTTGTTGGGTTGTTGCGGGCACCATTTGCCTTATTTTTTTTCCGCTGATAATATGCACGGGCACTGATTCGGTTTTTCTTTTGTGCATTGCGACGTGCATGTGCAGTCATTTGGCTTCGGGTTAGGATAAGTCCAGCTGCCTTTCTTTTAGCTAAGCGTTCTCTGTCTTTTCTTAAATGCTGCTCTCTTAACACAGGATCACTTTTGATTTTAGCTTTTCTTATTCTTTCCATCAACCTCTTTCTCTCTTTTTTCTCCTCCTCGTTTAGTTTTGATTTCAGCATTCTTAAACAAAATTAATCTTAAACAAAATTACTCGAACGAATTGTGTGCGGCACGAGCTGCACACAAGTTAATATTTATGAAAGTTAAAAAATATAATATGTGTATATGTATGTATAATGTATGGTTGTAGGTATGCTCCATTGTTTTTTTGTTTACTTTAATGAAATGACACTATGTCTACCAATATGATAAAATTACACCGAGGTGATAATATGATCTACCGATGTGATAAAATAATCCACCGATGTGACAAAACTATGCGTCGATCATGAATCAAAACACCGATATGATATTTAAGACACCGATTGATTTTTCTTATCACATCGGTGTAAATTATCACATCGGTGGTAAAAAAGACCACCGATTACAGCGATATGAGAACAGCGACGTGAGAAATTATCGACTTTTTTGAAAATTATGAAAAATGTATAATATTTAGGCTAAATTCAAGTACCTATAATGATGCTAATTTACTTACTATGTCTGTTAGAACCAAACAATCGTAATAAAACTTCACATTACACTATAAAAATGCAACCACCGATAATATAAAATAATTGCTTGGAAGTAACTGAAATGTCGTACTTACGTAATTGGCGGGAATATGCAGCGATTTGACACACGTCCGTCCTGACTGCGCACTAGCACACACTAACGAGGGAAATAAAATTGGGGTGGGGACACTGTCGGACTCATCGATGCAAAGTTAGGTTTAAATTACTTTTGTGCAGCGATATGACAAAATTTTGCGAGACAAGTACATTTATGCCTCTCAGTAATAAATATTATGAATTACGTAATAAAATATGCTACATATTAATAATAAAACTAATATTCTATGAAATAGAATAAGTTATATTCTAAAGTTACTTATTTTTATAACGATATAAGCGTTTTTGCTTGTAAAAAAAGTAGAGGGACAGCACCGATGTGACAAAAATAGAGGTTTATGTATTTATTTCTACCTTTGTAAATAGACTTAGACAAATAATATTTTATGCCACTACCCAATAAATACCTAAAGAATACAAAAAAAAATAGTACAGAACAATATTCCTTTTTTCAAATACTAATTTCAATGAAGACAAAAAAAAAAGTCGTTTGGGAAATTCACCCATTTACAAGGACGCCATAAAATAAAACAAAACCTATGCAGAGCCAGACAGCTAGTAATGAACTCACCGACACACTCCAAATAAACAACAAACTTCGTGTCACAGATAACTGAGATACAAGAAAATGTCAATAGAAACACTCGCGATTACAAGATACGATCAATCTGACAGCTGTCAAAAAGTGGCGCGAACGTCCGCGTCTGTCCGGCTGCGGTGGCAGAGTGGCGCGGGCGCAGCGAGCGACCACACCGCGAATGCGATTACAAGTTACGCCACCAACTTGTTATCTGTTCCACCTCATTGCGTATGCGATCAAACGGAATATGCGGTGGCCAGCGGTGGCTGCCTGCGGTTACCTTAAAACTTAGGTATGGGCTGCAAAGGTCGACCGATGACAGTTGACTGTGTCGTCACAAACACATGACCTTGACCAGTCAATAGAAATTGGGACTTTGTGATTCGATTCGTATTTGGCGGTCGATTGATAAGATAAAAGTGCTGATAAGAAAAATGAAAATTCATTAGAAGTTAGATAGAGCATACTTTGACACTCTATTATCTAAGATGTTAGACGAGGCGAAGTACTTAAATAGGAAGGAAGGAAACCGGATTGTAGCGCGGAATCTCACGACTCATTGCACTGGCGCTGGTAGTCTCACGATGCAGGCGGAGATTGCAAACAGACAAAAAGTAACGAATAGAAAAATAACAACAGTAAATAAAACTACCATACGTAATGTAAAACGTAAAATAGCACGGTTCGAATAATTTTCACTGGAAGGCAATTTTAATTTTATGACTGAAGTCACGTTTCAAGATGACCTTGGTCTAGAAAAGGTTAGTAACAATGCGAATTTCCTTGATCACACATACCTAGTACATATTAGCTACTAGCTACATACTAGTTGCATATTATGCATCCTTATCACGCTCATCCCCATTTTGCACGCTATCCCGTTACCACTGATAACAACTGCTGCGATACACAAATTAAGCAGGTTGACATGTAGCCTGCGCCCGCGCATGCTAACGACCCGCTCAAGGAAGTGACGTAACTCACTTAGTCCGTATTATGCGAGATGTAGATTATGTCAGTGAAGACGTTGCACAAATAATGAGGTCTGAATTGTATTTATTTGAATTTGGAATTTTGGAACAAATAATTTGGATTACCAGGTTGACAGATGTTTCTGCGTACACGCTGTTTTATTATTTTGCAGTTAGAATTTAAATGAGCATTTAAATAAATTATTTTGGATTTTTGTGCTTTACGATATGTTTCTTGCGTGTGTATGTTTAGCTGTGACCGCCTCTAATTTCAGTGTTTTTGTTGTTATCATTGAAACATGTCCTGTGTGCTGTGTAATAGGTTAAGTAAGCCTTTCTTTGGGGCTACGGGTGTACGTGGGATGGGCACATTCAGTAGCTTCAGGGAAGACGGTGGCACAGTGGTCACGTGCCACCGAGCACAGTGAGGCTCATGGGAGACATACGTCTCCCTAGGGATGTCCCTTTTTTACGGGTCAGTGGAGAATTCTTAACTTACTCTCATATCTTTGTTTACATTGATTTTCATGCATTTTGGTTAACTTTTGTTTTCAGGAAAATATTAAGACAGTTCTAAAATGTGGATATTAGTTATATTTTTTCAGTAGCATTTTCTCCATATACCTTCAATTACATATGCTATAACGTAATATCTGTAGAACTTGCGCAGTCACTGCTCGTTTCGATCATAACTCTAGTCTATCGAGATATTGTTCGAGTAGGTATGGATCGAGTCGTCAATCTATCGGCTCGATACTTTGATGATCGACTGCCCGCGCGCAGCAAATAGCTCACGACTTCACCGGCATACCAAATATGGTGCTGAGATCATTTCGGTCACTTTGTTCTTTATTTTATTCTATACTATGATTCTTCAGATTACATAATTTTTAAAATATTATGTTCTGAAGGTCCAACAGGAAAGAATTATCTATCTTTACTTAAGACAAGTGGAGGACAGTTCTCATTATTTATCATTTATTGTGGACATCACATTTTTGTGTTATGAGTAAGGTAATCTTATGTTGTCGTTAGTTACTTGACAAGATCACGTGGGTGGAATGGTTTGCCGAATGTGGAAAACAATGCAATAGAGAATTTAAGTGTCTCCTTCCTACATACTTTACTCTTTAATGGAAGTTTGACCCTGTAACATAGAGCTATCCCTCGACAACAGTTAGAACAACATTAGCATGTCGACACCTGTGAAGTGCATGCAGTATTCTTAAACCGTCATCAGGAATTCAATTCTTTATTATTTGGAACAAGATCGAAAGTCGTCTGTGCATGTGCATCATGATAAAACGCGAACACGTTACGTAATTAACGTTTCTCAGTAAATAAACAGAGAGCTTAGTACGAGTTTGTCATACGTTTATAGTAATCGACACGAGACCACATTCGACGCTCTGATTCGCCGGCTCCAATGAATTAACCAATGAGAGCGCCGAACGCGGTCTCGTTTTGATACATGAAATGTGATTCATACTCGTACTAAGGCCTCAGAACGTGTTTCAATGTTTAATGTCACTGGTTCAGGTTTACAATCAGATATATCGTCCCCGTAGAGCGAAAATTAACTAAGTCCAAAAATTACCAAAATGAGTTATCACTATCATTAAAATGAACTTTTATTTCTCTATAAATCAGTCTAACCGGTATTTATGTAGCTGTCGTCGTTTTTGTTTTACGGAATGTGAAAAATAAATAAGCATATGTTTTGGATTCCACATCATAATTGGAGAAATAACTAACTTAATTAATTAATTATACATTTACGAAAAAATTGCAT